TTTACAGGAATTGCAACTAATACGGCCTGCATAAAAAYCGCTAAGTTGGAGAAACCGAAAAGAAAACTTAGTCAAAACTCTCAACTAATTTATTTTATAATTTCGTAGGAGAAACATGATTATTGTATAACTTTTAGTGGTAATTTTTGTTGGTAGATAAATTTTTCTGTATTTGTCATCTGTGAAAGGGAAATGAGAAATCATGTCTCCAGATATGACTAACTATTTGTTATAACTGCTTAGATTTAATGTTATCAGAATTATTCTTTGTGAAATCGTTCCACATATTCGTCACTTACGGCTCCTAAATTTTCGGAGAAAAATCCAGATGGGAGTCCGAAAAGTGAATTTTAAAGACATGTTGCAACCCATTTTATTATAGGCAGCAAATAGTTCAGTCAAAAGATCTTTGTAATTGTCAGCTTTCACATTTTTAAGAAAATTTTTAACAACGCTTTTAAAGGCACTCCAGGCTCGTGTTTCAGTTTAATTGAGCATTACCTCAAATTTTTCATCTTTCATTAGTTCTCTTTTTTACGGACCCACAAATATGACCTCCTTAATTTTTACAATACAAGATACAGGAACCCTCTTCCAATACTGTTCATTGCCTTAACAAAATTCTTCATTAAACCCAATTTAATATGTAAAGGTGGTAGTAATAGGTGGTAGTTGATCAGGGATCAACTAGAGGCTCATTGGTAACGTTTTGTTTTGTCCCGCAGTAAGTCCTGATGTGCCACTACCACTGTAGTCATGTGAATTTGCTGAATAGCCAGAAGTATATCATGCGAATGCGGTGCTTGCGGTGTGCTTTCAAAGGAATAACCTTATAATGCTTTCTTAATGGAAGAAAGCGGATGTACAGCATTCCATATAATTCTTGAAGAAAATTTTCAACGCCGGTCCATTTGTCCCACGTATCTAACGGGTATGCATTATAAATAACTAATTCTCCGATTGATTTAGGATTACCAGAATAGCAGTCTTCAACATTTCCCATGGAAATTTGGCGAAATGATTGTCACCAATAACCAATACAGTATGAGATGGCACTCACAAACTCACTCACTCACACTCAAATACTAATGTATATTTTGACGTGAAATTTAGTATAGATGCCACTAACAGTACTGTCAATTTACGAAAAAAAATTTACCGATTCGAAGAACACGTGAAGTATAAATTAATTAAAATTGATTCACCTTTCAATTTGATCACAGTAGTATTGTAAAATGATAGAAAAATTCTGTTTTCAGATTTTACTTTTGGGTATCAAACTGCATTAGAAACACCTACGAATTTTCATGTTACAAATTATGTGTCTACCAGTGTAATATTATATTTGTATTCCTCTTAGCTCTTCAGCAAGACAATTAGCTTTGTGGTTAAGCTCTAGGCTGATTGAAAATTCTATTCTATTTTTATGCTCATAATAAAATGACAGTCAGTCTCTCCCTGGCTATAAGAAAATATTGCTCCAAAAAATCGATTTCTTCATCAATAAGAATTGAGTTGTTAAATTCTACAACATTTCTAGAATATTGTCCTAAATTTTTAAGTTGAGCCGGGTAACAGTTTTGGAGATAAAGTATTGAAAACTTGGGTGCTTTTCTCAAAACTGTGTTTTTGAAGTCGGTTGCCAAGATTCTTCGAAAACTACTCAACCGATCTTTATGAAATTTTACACAGGTCTTTGAAATACAATACTTAAAGACTTGGCGAGGGATTTTTCTTCGATTACAAAAGTTAAAAAAAAAAAGTGTCGCTAATGTTTTGTAAAAATGTGTGCCAAAAATCCAATTTTCAGTTTTTTTTTCCTTTATACAAGTATTTTTTTCTCTTTAGATTATCCTGTAAGGACCCGCCAACGCGGGTGCATATTTTTTCCGAGGGTCGCCGGAAATAGCGTCGTAATAGCCGTGTTTTATAAATAGTTTATCCAAAAATTTCAGATTTTTTTTGTTTATAGTATATGTTTGTAACAAAAAAAAAATTCTAATAAAAAGTTTAATTTTTATATAAGAAAAAATTGTTGAAGAGAGGTTGGTTGTTACCTGAGGTAACCCATGCAATTCCTTCATTCGCTGGGAAATATGGAAAAAAAAAATAAATAATTTAGGGCGAATAAGCATTATTTCAATTAATCAAAGCATGTTCACGAAATCAGCAAAATTTCCATATAAATTTTATAAATAACTGCAAAATAAGGCTTTGGTAGGCGTATACAATAGATATGCCGTACACGAAAATTCAATGATATCCTTGCTTAGGAAAATTGACAACTTTATTAGTCAAACGCAATGGGCGTTTCTGAAAAAATTTAAAAATTAATGATACATTTCGGTTGAAATACAATTTGAAAAATAGCAATGGTCCCTTTCACTGCTTTAAAATATAGATATGAGCATATAGTATACAGCAATACCTCTTGCTTTTAGCATACATTTGTATGTATGCGTATGTATATATGCTTATAAACCAAAAACAAACGTGGTTAGCGAGCACAATACAAAGCGGCAGTGTCATCATTCATTCATTGAAAAATGAATTTTAGGCGTTCGAAAATCCGATGATAAATCACTTTTATTCTTGACAAACGTCGCTCAAATATGCTTCCGTTACATCAAAAGCCTAGCACTGTATATGTATGTATATGTGCGTTTATTTGCCTGCATGCGTATGGTTGTATATTGCCCAATGACGCAATGGATGCACATGTAGTGAAGAGCCTCGCAAATCAACCTCTGCTATCGTTATGCGTTGCCGTAGCGAAGCAACAGTCTGTTGTGTCTGCCATGGCGTATGAGTGATTCTTTTGTAAATTGATATCTAATGTTTGTATTTTTTTTTGTTTTTGTTAAATTTTATTTTTGCTGTTTACGTAGGTCATCAAATGGCCAAACAATACGCGGTTAATGATAATAAATGGCAAAAACAAAAACAACAGAGCACGACGCGGTTAACGCTTATTGGGCATTTTGGCGGCCGAACGCATGAATGATTACTCAGTTTGTATGGTCAGTCGGTGGAAGCGCTTAATCGATTTTGGCGGGTTGTATTTTTGTATGTTTAAACCAATCGTATACTTAGTTTGAAACAGAAAATCTGAATTTTTATTATCTGACTTATTTTTGAAAAACTAAAAAACTACAAAGAAAATCGTATCCAATTTATTAGAAAACATGAGTCTGAACTATAGACCGCATGGAATTTATAATGATCTCTATATTAGCATAATTATGATTTTATTTTATTTTTACAGAAGCAAGTATTGAATTTTATATGGAGTAATATACTGGTAATCTTCTCTAAATATTTTATCCACGTTCTGTGATTTTCATATAGAAGCCCTATGTTTCCTCTAGGTATTTTGTGAATATATATCGGGTGATTTTTTAAGAGCTTGATAACTTTTTTAAAAAAAAAAACGCATAAAATTTGCAAAATCTCATCGGTTCTTTATTTGAAACGTTAGATTGGTTCATGACATTTACTTTTTGAAGATAATTTCATTTAAATGTTGACC